TTATTAAAAGTCACAGCACACAGATCCTTTGGCCAATAAAGGCATACATGGAAGGACATAAATACATACACATTACGCTTATGCAGTTACCAAGAGTTTTCATCATCACAGATAGCTTCAGGTTTCTAGCAGTTTATTTCCAACATAAATGCTGAGCAAATAAACCGTGTGCCACACCCCACCCCCAAATGGTAAAGTTATGTGGCTGCAAAAAATATGCAATTTCATTCAGTCGTTTAAAACATACTCAGCACAGTACCCCACGCTAATCCTGTTCCATAAAGGCACACTTACGTAGTATCCTTCAGCTTCAGATAGGCCACAAGTAACAGACTGATCTGTTTCCAAGTTTTACTAGACATTACCTAAATAGTCTGTATTAGAAAGCAATAACTGGCGTATTATGTTAGCATAAAGCAGTTCCAGTTCCAAGGTAAAAGCATATCTTACACAGGTACATGTAGCAACAGATTCAAGTCTTGCAGGCAGTGTGCTCTAAATAAAATATATAGTAGTGTAGGTGTTGACAGTTTGTCAAGCATACAGCAATACCAAAACCATATTTCAACTCTGATGCTGGAGCTGAGCTGAACAGAAACTAATAGAAATGTTACTCTTAATCAAATCTGCAAAGCTAACACCTTGGCCCCCAAAACATTAGCATTAACAGATATAAATTTAAATGCTCAAAAATGAAGCATTTCAACTACAGATAATGTAGCATTTGTCAAAAGTATAACACACAGAAGCTGTATTTGAGCAAACTTCACGTGAACAAGGCTAGACATTCAGAAAAGAACGTATTTAGTTACAGGAATAGTAATTTCTAAGTTGGGTTTGTTTGTTTTTTAAAATCTTGAACTGACTATAGGAATTCTTGGATGCTTGAGGGTTTTTAAGTGGAACTGTTAGTTTATATAGTATTGCAATTAATGTTTTAGCTACCTATTTTTACACACCAAAGCAATTAAGTCATGTTGCACATAACTTAAAAAATCACTGAAAAATAAAATCAACTTTCTAGTTGAGTTTTTGCCATTGTCAGCTTTAAATATTTCAGTATCAAGTCTTAGATATGATCACGGAGAGGTCACATCATGAACAATTAATTTCTCTACTGTATCTGTTAGCTCTGGCAGAATGCTAAGTGCCTGATTTAAAAAATAATTTAAAAAATCTGTAAATAACAACAAAAAGCTCAATAGTGTTACAGATCAACTCAATGGTAGTCCTGAATGGATACCAACATAAGCTTATAGACTTGACGCAGTTGCCTAACAGGGCGTAACATACTGATACCGAGAAAAGCTAAGGTGATAATTTTTCTCCATGCTAGCAATAATATTAAAAATACAAAGTATTTATGAAGAGAAAACTTGGAAACCAGCAGAAACACTATTTTAAAAAAAATAAAAAGCCCAACATATCACTAATCTATTGCCACTAAGAATGGCTACAAAAAAGAAGATAAATCTGTTTCTGGTCATTTTGTTCTAAGGCCCACAATAAAACTTTCCACTTTAATACAGTTGCTATAAAGACCAAAAACCGCTTATTTCTCAGCAGCACTTAAACATCCTCCCCAATGCTGGACCCACTGAAGTCAGACTCCTTGCCCTGACTTTCAAGAAAGACAAAGATTACATCATGGTTTTCAAGTATAAAAACATCATATAGTAGACTTCTGAGATGATGTCAGGAAATATGGCACCTAGTCCTGAGAAGGTATGAAAGACAGCCTTTAATTACTATTTTTAAAATATTAAATTCATATGCCATTCAAAATGTGCTTTATATTTTGCTTTAGAAAAAATGAGCTCAGAAATGAATTTTGGACTGAAACTTTAAGTTTTAAAACTTATAGTGACTCACTCATGCAATACACAGATGTTTCTTGATTACTCAAAATAACATTAATAGGTCTTTCACATGCAATTCCTTCTAGTAAAATATATAAAAAAAATCCTGTACTAGTTCAAGTTTTTCTGGGTTTTTCCACACATGCGGGATGTCTGCTCTCTCCCAAATGATTCAATTTGCTTTTAAAAATACCAAAAAAAGTCTAAAAACTTCACCTTTTAGTTTTGTGGAATTTGCCAGTTAACTAAGATTGAAATCTAAGCCCTGTATTTGCAATAAAAAAACTAAAACCACTTACCAAAGGACAAGAATCTGTCAAGCCTTCCATGTTAATTTGTTTTGCAACTAGAGCAAAACATGGGTAACCTTAAACAGAAAAGAGTATAACGAAGCTGTGTTGGACCAAGATCCAGATACCACATATGTAAGAGTGGTCACCATCATTTCTGAGCTTCACCTTGCAAGTGTGCAGGCTGTGTTGCTGTCAAGAGATCTGCTATGCTAGGTACTTCAGGGTGCACGCTACTCCTGATACTTGTGCAAGAAACTCTTCAAGAGAATTTCTCAACTATGAAGTATTTGGATGCATAATGTTTTCCATGAGGTCAAATACCAGATGGAGATCCAGCATTTCTCCACCATTAATTTTGCTAGTAATGAAAAACACTTTCTTTTGGGGGTGGTGAGGATGGGAGTTGTGGGTAGGGAGAGTCAAAGTCAACAATGTAAACAGTTTCCATGAACACAGTTATGGATAGAAATGGATAAACAGTACATTCTTACGAGCTTCAGAGACATGCAGCAGACTTCTGATCTGCAGTTCAGATCCCAGTACTTTAAATAATGGCTTGTACACCAATAAATTCAAGCACTGCTTGATATGTAATTCTCATGGACATTACAGTACCTCCTTAAACAAATTTAAAATGACATTTAACTATCTTATTTTTCCTATACATAATACATTTTCAGTAATTATAAATAAATACTCACATTACAAGCATGTAATCACATATATATACACACAATACTAGTGAACCCCAAATGGCAAATAGATTATTTTTCTTTTAAATGCTAAAACCAATTTAAATTTTCTGTAATCCTGTTAAACTATTGTTTTGGAGTAGTATACCTTGCTGAAAAGCATATCTGCCTATCTGTCAATACCTAAGCATGCATTAGAGTGGACACATGCTAAAATAACTTATTTTTTTCAGTATCTTAATTTAACTTTGTTTTAGAAGGAAGTCAAAGACTTGTTCAAATTTTCAAAATAGAGAATTATCATCCTCTGCAGAAGACTCTTCTTAATCCTCAATAATTTAATCAAAACAAGAGAAGAATAACAAAAAAAAAACCCCATACTTGATTCCTTTGGTATGAATTGCTAACTTGTTAATTTGAGAAGCAAAAATACAGAGATATTGGCACCTTCTCTTTTTCCTTTGCAATTTGTCTCTTCCTGCAGCTGGGAACAGACACTGACCTAGGGAGAGGAGGAAATGAAATTGTATGAAAGTGCAGTGTGCAACAAACAGTAAAACTGATAATAAAGAATGCCCTTCAGGCATAAAAGTAAAAAACTCTGCTTATACTGAAAGATCTGTAGCTGACAAAGGTTACTGGAAGTCAGCAGGTCTGTACTAGTACTGGGAAAAAAAGTATTTCTGTGTATTAGGGCACCTGCCAATCAAAAATGTTTGAATTACAGGCTTCCCTAAAGGTTTGAAGAGAAGTAACATGGTGAAATTGTATAAGTGATCTGTTCTACAGCCGAGAATGTCCTGTCTGCATTCACTGTTCAATACTGCATCTGATGCTGACAAGCTCTGTCAGTACTAGAACTATTTGTAGTGTAGACAGGACTAAGGGACACAATCCCATTTACTGACATATCACTTGAGCAATTCTCTTAGACCTCCTGTAAAACTATTTTTAATTCCACCAAAAGGTGCTATTGGAGAGAAGGAGGGAATTCACACAGTCTAGCTGCGGGCATCTAAATGTGACTGTTGGGGGACTAGTCTCCTTAGACTGCAATGTACCTCCTGAAAAGAGAAACAAGGTTCTCCTCAAACAGGAATTTGGGGGGTGAGGGAAGCTATTTCTCTTGACCTCATAGAGAGTTTACTTTCTTAGCTGATGTACTCACTTTGAACTCTGAATAGCTTCCACTGATCTAATCCTGCTAAATTACATTTTACAGAAGTAATCCAGAACGATATAAATCTGAAGCCTACAGCATCTGACTTTGTAGTAGTCAGTGAGATTACTTACTGTTGGGAGGGGAAATGTCTCTTCACACACAGTGTGTTTGGAGGATAAGCCAAGAACACAGTCTATGCCTAACAACTGAAGGCTAGCTTTGTAGCACAACTATTTCCCCCCAAAATAAGGTAACATATTCTCTATCTGCCAAATACCATAACTCATCCACCTTTCTAAATACAGACTTACTCCATAGCTGCCAGATAACTTATGTACACAATGTCTTTAAAACAACAAAAAAAGCTTAGAGACAAGTTAGACAGAAGGTCTAATAATTCCATTCTTGCAAATCGGAGCACTCACCAAAGAACAGACTCTCTCCCTCCCCAAACACAAATATCCTAGGTAAAATTGTTCCCTTTACTTGACTGTTTGTGTCAATAACAAGCCACCTGTTCCCACTGGCAATAGCAGCTGATTTGCAGCCCCATTAAAATCTTCAAACCTTGCCAAACTGACACTTCTTCTTTGCCAAGAAATAAACAGCAGATGCTAGTTTCACAATCTTATAGACAGCATAAAGGCCTGTCATGATCTTTAGCAAATAAATCTTAGAATCTGTTAAAAAATCTTCCAGCAACTTTTCATTCAAGTTATCTCCCCCAAATTTTCTGAACTATCCATATTTTGCAACCTGTACCCTGGTATTGGCGTTTTTCCGTTTTTTTTCTCCCTTTTTTTTTTTTTTTAACATCTCTACATCATGCCACATCAGTAGCTCTTAGGAGTTTCAGGGTTTCATTGATTGTGACATAACGAATCGTGCAAAATCTTTTGAGTAATTTTTAAGCCCTAGTTACTTGGATTCTCCCCAAGTAACAGTAACCAAGCTCAGAGTTCATCAACATTGTGCCTTTTCCTTCCTCAGATTTTCATGGGATGCCATCCTTCCTTTGGCAACACTGTGAAGGAGGCACTCCCCAGTCGTACATGTAGGAAAGCCTGAGCTTAACCTCCTCCTTACAGAGCTTTCCTTCTTTAGCCAGGGTCTGGTGCTTTTCCAGCATGTCCTCAATGCTTTGCTTATGAGTTACTATGTACTTATTGTTGCAACCTCGTGACTTATACTCAGTGTCAAAACGAGGGTCGTGGACTCTCTTCACATCAATGGGAGCCAGCCATACCCCCAAGGAGACATCTTCGCTCTGCCACATGTTCAGGTAGTCTCTGCTAAGACGCAAATAGTGCACCAGATCTGCAGAAATCACATAACCACCCCCCAGAGCATATGGTAGATAGTAGTCACAGAGCACCCAGGCACTCTCTTTCCATTTGCCACCAGATTTCACTCGACCGCGGCCAGAAAAGAAGCCCCAATAGAGGCGACGCGGCTCCTTGGCTCTCAGCTCTTCCACGAGCACATCCAAGCGCACGAAGGTGTCGTCATCAGCCTTGAGGACAAACTGGAAGTCCAGGTGCAGATCCAGCCAGGCGTACGTGGCCAGGACTTTAGCAGTCAGGTTCTCGTAGGAATCCCGCAGCTCTGGCAGAAGGAGGAGGTCTCTGTGCCGGCTCTGCTCTAGCTCCAGGCTACGAAGCTCCTCTGCGCCGAGCCCACCCGTGCTGACGACAAAGCGGCTCCAGACATCGTCGTGAGGGGAGCGCCCGGCGGTCGAGAGCCACGTGCTGCGGATGATGCTGCGACGCTCGCTGTACTTGGGGCCGCTCATAATGAGCACGGCCACGAAAGCGGTCTCCTCAGGAGAAGGCTGTGGGGCTGCTGGGGGATGCGGTCCCCTGGCACCCCGTGGCGGCAAGACCGCGGGCTGGTTGTGTGGGAGCCCACGGGGGGCTGGCAGAGGCCGGAGGCCCTCGGAGGTGCACTTAGCCAGGTAAA